TTCTGTTTCTAAGTAATACACTATCTGCAAAACTTTGACCTTTGTCTGTAGTCTTGTTCTCTGACCCCAGCCTTAGGCTAAGTCCCAGACTATAAGACTGTAGTCCTAGATTGTATATTTCTAGAAGTGTTCAATTATTGGAACTTGCATCCATGTAATCACTAGACCACGTTTTCATATAGAAAATGAGAGAAAAGGTTAATACAGACAGAGCACAAGACCTAATGGTATGCATTATGGGTTAATATAAAAATTAATTAAACATAATTATTCCTGTTTTCAATTAACTTACAACTTAATAGGACGTGAGTGGAATATGTTGATAATTGTAATAATATAGATTGAAACATCTGCAATAAGAGTAGCATAGTTTTATCTGAGCTTAATTAACTTAGAAAAGCTTTTTTTAAGAATTCAAAACTGGCTTTCTGTCTATTGTGGCTAAATGGAAATTGGTTAAGTTCTTTGGGTCTTAAATTGGTTAACAAAATTAAACAAGAATACCTACTTTGTGGCATCTGTGCATTAAATGAGCAATACGTGTATAAAATATGTATAGATCTGGTATCAAATGTGTTCAATAAAATATGTACAACACATGTATTTGTATATATGTACCTATATTTCAATTTAGTTATAAACATATAAGCAAGGTTTACAGATAATGACTCTGATTTCAGTTTTTGACACACTAATGTTGAGGCTCTTCAGTAACTTGCAAGAGCAGACCAAGAAATAGGCAGTTGGATCTGACAACCCAGAGACAGTAGAAAGATTTGGATGGAAGATAAAGTAATAGTAAGCATTGTGCAGCACTTCAAATAGGGTGTATCCACTACATGGTGGGAAACAGTAGTACTCCAGAGGATCTCTCCACACAGTCAAAAGGAAAAAAAGTTAAAAAAAAAAAAAAGCAAACACACAGACACAGAAAAGCAACAACAAAAACACAGCATCTTCATTCAATTAGCACATAAAAGAAGTGCCAAGATCTGTGGTCGCCAAGGACTAGGGAGTTTGTGTCACTCATCTGGCACAAAGGCAATGAAAATAAGATTCACTTGAAATTAAGGAGCATTCCATTTTTCTCCCTTGATTTCATTTTTCTGCGTAAAGCTGATTTGGAGGTTATGCTATCAGTCAGCAAGCAAGAGGTTGGAGTGGGTTGGAGAGTTGGTAAGCGCCATTCACAAAAATAATAGTCAAACACATTGGACGCAGGATTCAAAGTTCAGGTTAGTTAAATCTCAATAAAAGGCTTAGAAATATAGAACAAAATTTCTGTAAGGTTTCCTATGAAAAAAAATTAAAAAACTAACAAGACTTGTGTGCACATTTCCTGGGGCAACAAGAAAGTTGAGACAGTTGCAGAAACTGTACTTCACTTTTCTTGAGGTGGGAAAAAAAATAAATAAATAAGAAGAGAACTCCGAGAGCTTATGAAGTGGGTTGTGGCTGATTATAAAGGGAGAAAAAGGGGACTCTGGAGAAGGTTCTTGGCTCGAAAACAGACTCATGTAGATGTAGAATCACCTGTGGGGCTGATCTTGGCTTAAGGATCGTTTGCCAGTTTTGAGAATCATTCGCTAATCTTGAGGATCAACAAATGATCCTCAAGCCACAACTGTCTGTTGTCACTTGTGTGCTTTGAAAATCATCTGGAAAAATAAGATGATATTCTTTGGTATGAACACAGTGAGATTGAACTTGCTGTAATAAACGGCTCGTTTTTTACTGCTTCCAGCATTTGCTTTCTAACTCAGAAAATGTATCTACAATAATATATGGTTTACAGATGAAGAAAGAAATCACATATTCTTGTCCAAATGAGTCAGTCATAATTTAATGTGGTTTTCCATATGTGTATCACCAGACACTTAAGAATACCAAATATTAATATAAAGACTTTGACTGGCAGTAACTTATTTTCTAATTGTTAATTATAGCACAATGTGTGTATCAGAAATATCCAGATCTTTCTTGAAATCTCACTGTAAGTCTTAAAATACCACATTTAAAAATGTCCAATTTACTGTGTCTTCCATAAAACTGTGACTTTTTAGAGAGCTAAATGTCTCATGTATTTTTACCACATGTGAAACATTGAGATGTATTATGATTCAAAATATTTTCCCAAATAATATAAGACTGAATTGAAAGGTTTGGGGAAGGGGCGGAATCCTGAGTGCTGTAATACAGAAAACTATATAATAAAAGTAGACTTTTCATATTTCAATTTCTGTGGGTTCTTTGGTCTCTAAAACAAGTACCAGAAGAACAATGAGAAACATGGAATATAATTTATGTGTAGGTAGTGTCCTAAGCACATTACATTCTTCTCAATACCCCTTTGGGATAGAGTCTATTATTATTCTCATTTCACAGATGAAGACTGATTTTTAGTGAGTAGAGTGAAATATCAGTAAAAGAGATTAAAGAACTCTGCATCTCCTCCCATCCTTTGCCTCTCTGGAACCTTGATTAATATATCCCCTCCTTTGGCGTCTTTCTCTCTTCCATGGCACCCCCTTTTGCTCACACAAATGCCCACATATTCCCTCGGTATTTTTTTTTTTTTATGCAACTGGTGGGAACTCTACTAACATTATTCAGAGCATTAACTTCCATTTCATAAAATTGTATATAGTGAAACACACATTCAAGAAATGTAAGCCAAACATTGGTACTCAACAACACACTCCAAAATATTTATTTTAACCTGAATATATTGCTTGTGAGAAATTTAAAATCTATGCCAAGATTATTGTGCTCAAATGTCCCACAAACTTAATCTGGCCAGTAGTGAAGGTCCTCCCTGTTGGGCCTTCTCTCCACCTCCTGCCTGGTGCTCTTCTAGGCTCAGGGACAGCACTGCTTATCCAGACCCCCAAAGCAGCACAGGAAGCAGCACTGTTCCCCCTACTGGCAGTACCATCCAGCTTCTTGCCAGTAGTAAAGACTCTAGGTCTGCTTTACCCGGGTCACATCTCAGTGACATTCTTCACTAGGTCTGTGGCCTTGAAAAAACTACTTAAACTTTCTAAACTTGAGCTTACTTATATACCAAATGGAGATGACAGCAGTGCTGATTTATGGGGATTAGATAAGACAGTTTATGTAAACTTCTTAAACTAGTGCATGCATATCTAAGGACTAAACAAGTATTTACTGCTATTGATATTTCTTTTAATATGTTGCACGGAATTTTTACAGTCTTATTTGATGTGTTTCTCCATTGTATCCTATATTCATATCTATTTTGTTGTGTGTGTGAAATATTTGTTGCATAATTTTACCATTGCTTACAGTAAGCAAGTACTAAAAAGGCATTTAATTTTTTTTAAGTTTATAGTTCATTATGTATATTACCAATAGATTGAGGGCTATTTTTCCCTTTAATGTAAAATCAAACACTAATAGGTAAGATTTCTGCAGTCATAAACTTTACATTAACTTTTTAGATATTTCTTAAACGTCAAATTTTTCTGACTATTTGAATGTTACTTTAAATGAAATACTTAATATAAAATGTCTTATTTTACATATATATGTATGTGTGTGTATATATATATGGCAACAATAATCAGTGTGCAGTCTAAATTTAATTGCATCATTTTCTGGGAGGTATCGTGGTTCTTTATTGTGCTCTGCTCAACCGGGTATACACATTCTTTCATCTAACCTAGAATTCACAAAAATAACAGATCTCCAAAACCATTTCATTCCATAATTTCTCCGTCTGTTGATTTTGGTTCCTATACATGCATCTGAGCATAAAAGCTCATTGGTACTAGGCCATGAGTAATTACAATCTAAGAACGTAGAAAAACGATTGAATAGTGGTAAAGGAAACACCAGCAAATCACATGATTATTAGAAAATAATATTGTAAGGTTGTGAATTTCAATGCCATTCTGTGATAATGAGGGCATTCCATAAACATTTTACAAATAAATGAATGAATGGTTTTATTTACAGAATATCGAATGGTGAAGTTAAGTAGGATTTAAATATCATATTAAGGGAAATCACTTTATTGAAGGTAAAGTAGTATCTTAGGCAGAAAAGGAGAGTATCTGGGCTTTATTTTATTTTACATAAATGCAGTTAAATGGATCTTCGTTGTTTCTATTTAGAAGAGTTTGAGTTTGAAAAACGGTTTTGAAAACACAATCAGTGGCAGATAATTTACCTTTCAGTTATGGGGACAACACACAGAATTCCAAGCAATATGGCATCTAGCCTTCACCACAAAATGAGTCTGCTAACTCTGTGTAGTACAGATAGTGTGACCTAAGTGTTTGGCAAATGTTGGCTTTTCACCGTATATTGATAACAGCTGAAACAGGAAATACAAATGAATCATTTCACATTATATTGAATTTTAAATAGAAGCAGCACAAATGATTCTGAGTTAGCTCATCATTATAAAACTATTCTAGCACGTGGAAGATAACACTTTTTGAGATATAACTTGAAGCTTTTTTTTCCTCCCACTGACAGGTGTTGATTAGTATGGGAAAGGGATTTAAATACCTCAGAGACTCTTGAATTTGCGATAGTAACAATGATAGTTACAGCTGAGAGTCCAGTTTTTAACATTGCCTTGTTAGTTGGCCAGCTCTTCCATGCCTGTGGGTATTCTTCAAATCTGGCTTTGAGCTATTTTAATGTAATTTCAGAGAAATTACCAGCAGTGCCTCTTTTGTGGCATTTAAATGATATTGTTATGCTCTACATTGTCGAATCAGCACCTTTATAATAGAATAAGAGCATGACATATACTCTTCGTGCAGAGTTACTAGGAAAGAGCTGAAATTCTAGTTCACAAATGAAAATATTTTTCTTGTAACAAAATTTAAAATGCTCACTTCTGTGTTCAGAAATTTTACTTTGATGTTTCCTGAATTCTCTTTAGTAATTCTGTCTACAGCTAATTATCGTTAAATTTGTTATTTTTTGTTTATAAACATTGAGATTTGATTTTCTTTTCTTTTTAGGATCCCCTGCCCTGACTGGAACTGGAACAATCAGCGTCATAGTAGATGATGTCAATGACAATGTCCCCACATTTGCCAGTAAAGCGTATTTCACAACAATTCCTGAGGATGCACCCACTGGAACAGATGTTTTATTGGTAAATGCCTCAGATGCTGATGCTTCAACAAATGCAGTTGTAAGGTCAGTACGTTTTCCTTTGTAAAGTTTAGCTATTTTCTCATTAAACATTGATTTTTGAATTACATGAATATAATGTTTAATTAAATGAACGTTATATTAATTCATATCCTATTGTTATCTATTGCTGGTAGCTAACAATTCATAAAATGAGGACTCAAACAGTAAACATTCTACTTAGTACTCTAAGATTTTATTTAATTTTTATTTAATTTATATTTTTATCATATCTCATGATTTTGTAGTTTGGGACTACACTAGGTGCTTCTTCTGTCTCATGAGGTTGACTGATGGCACTTCACAGTATTTACGTGATAACTGGATGATCTAGAGGGCCCAAGATGACTTTGCATGCCTGCTGCCTTGGCAGGGTTGGTTGGAAGGTTTAGGATCATCTAGGCCCCTCTGTCCTCGAGTAGTCTCAGAAATTCCTGATGTGGTTCTTTAGCAAAGTAGTTGGACTTTTTACATGGTGGTTCTCAACTCCAAGAGCCACCAGTGAAAACTCCCAGAACTCTCGAAGGTCAGACCCAGATGTGCCATAGCAGCACTTCCATAATACTCTGTTGGTCAAAGCAGTGATGACCAGCCCAGATTCACCATGAGGAGAAACATGCATCACTCATTGATTGGAAAAATGTCAAGGAACTTTGACCATTTTTATTCCACTGCTAGCCTCAATAAGAATATTTGTGTACTCTTCATTTAGTAAATGTATTTTACTTTGCTTAAATCCTCTTAAAATAGAGGACACAAATATGATAACTTGTTCAGAGAGGATGTGAAAGAAATTGGGTTGTAACATTTTATTGACCTAGCTTGTCCCCTTCTTCCGTATCTATTCTAAACTATAAGAAATGAAGATTTCCACATATTCTAGGGAAAAACTCACACACATAAATATTTTATACCCCTCCTCCACTTTCTATAGGCTGGTATTAGGTAAATTAGAGTTAGTTAGATGGCTATCAAAGTAATGGAGCAGAAGATAAAATTTGAGGCATTAAGAATTATCAACTATGGGTAACGGATATATTGATATGGTAATGATTTGATTAGTGTCTTATTTTGTTGTTTGCTACCAATTTTCTTTCAACAAAATCATTTTGGAAAACTGACTTTCAACACACACATTTTAAGAAACACATTCAGACCATAATACTTGGCCTCTCTAAGGAATTACCTTTAAGCTGAAAGGATTGAGCAGTAGGATAGAATTAAGCACGTTGTGTTATCTAAGAAGGCCAGCATGTCTGGACCAGAGTGAGAAAGGAGTTAGAGAGGTAGGCAGGGGCTAAATCACAAGCCATGTAAGGACTTCTAAGCCATGATACAGAATTGGGGTTTTCCAATTTACCTTTAGGTGGGAAACTACTGAGGAGTTTTAAACAGAAGAGACACATAAACTGGTCTACATTTGGATAGAATCTGATGAGAGACGATTTATGGAGAGAAACCAGTGTAACATTTAGGCACTAATGAATATAGTTATCCAAGTAGAGTAACTTTATACTTATGTGGAAAATGAAAATTGAGCAAATAGATTTGGACATGCCTTTGAAATTGGACGTGAGATCAAATGAAAGAGAGAAGTCAGAATCATCTAAGTTTTCCACTCAAACACCAGGCAGATCATGAATATGATATCATTTACTTATTTTACTCTGGTTTGATAAAATCTTATTGGAATATAATGTGTGTTTATGGTTGGTGTAATAACTCCTTGCTATTCATGGTATCCTGAAGAAAATCTATATTTTCTCAGATTAGAAGAGCTATATGTTTATATTTATTTATCTCCCATTAAATTTACCATGGTTAGGTTTATTTACTGAACTACGATGGACCTCTGCCAGGAACATAAACTTTTATGTGGTCTATAAGTTACTTTTTTCCAAGTGATCCTACATTATTTTTAGTCATATAGCATCCAGCCAACAGAATGTTTCTTTTTTACTTCTGCCTGTTTTCATCAAACTTAATCTTCTACAAAAGGGGGGGCTGGGTGGGTACTTACCTTAAGTTACACATTTTAATTCACCTTTATTATTTTCCTTTCTAGAACAATCCGCCGTATCCAGATATGTCTTTGCCTTCCACGTATCTATTCCAGAGCTTAGCTTTTACAGATATGTATCCCCTTTTCTCCCAAGTGGACCAACCAATCTCTATTCAAGCTCACTTCTAATTCTTCTATATCACAACCCTGGAGAAAGTCATGAACGCCACTGACAAAGTCCAACATTCTAAGGAAAATTTCTTTCTTTCTTTTTCTTTTCTTCTTTTTTTTGAGATGGAGTCCTTGCTCTGTCCAGGCTTGAGTGCCGTGGAGCGATCTGAGCTCACTGCAACCTCCGCCTTTTGGGTTCACGCCATTCTCCTGCCTCAGCCTCCCCAGTAGCTGGGACTACAGGTGCCCACCACCACTCCCGCTAATTTTTTGTATTTTTAGTAGAGACAGGGTTTGACCGTGTTAGCCAGGATGGTCTCAATCTCCTGACCTCGTGATCGCGCCGCCTTGGCCTCCCAAAGTGTTGGGATTACAGACATGAGCCACCGCACCCTGGCCAGGAAAATCCTTAATATGTGTTATTAATCCTCTTCCATTCAATTTCCTCCAACTCTTTAATTCAAAAGTTACTCGTTTTTCCGTGTGTCCTTCAAGTTCTCTCTCTTCCTTGAACCATGTAGATATCTATATAAATGCTCATTTACATAAGTTAGCATAGCTACAGAAATGCTCCAAATATCTGGTGTTGAATTCTGGTTCTTTTATTTGCCTGCCATGGTCTAGGAAAGTCATTTTAATGCCTCAAAGGCTTAGTTTCTGCATCAATAAAAATGAACATAAAAATTTATACTTTACAGTTTGTGGACAGACTTTACTAACTACCTACTATGTATCAAACAGTATGTATGGAATCAGTTAATATTCATAAATATCTCTGGCATAATTATTAGGACATATAAGTCATTAAATTAATTCAAGGTTTTTTTTTTCTTTTTATTCCTCTCATATCATCTTTTTTACTCCTAATATAGTCTTTCTTTTACAATATCTGGTACATAACAGTGGTTGACACTTAAATAAATGCATTGAATGAATGATTTTAATATTCTCTAGAATAGCTGCTTTTACTCATTCTATTTTTACTACAACATTCTTGAAAGGTTAGCTTCACAACCTATTTTCTCTGGTCATTTATTCCTGAAAATCTTTAGTCTGATTTTTTTTCCTTCATTGCTTTACTGAAAAAAGGCCCTGTCAGAAGACTACTGAAATTTTTCAAGTCCAGTGACTTTTCTAAGTCCTTATTCTCCTTTACATTTTTCAATGTTCACACTATAGGCTAGACCATCTTTTCTTTTTGGCATTTTTTTTCCTCCTCAATTTCTATATAAACATAATTTTTTATCATCCTGCATCTCTGATCACACACAATTTGTCTTCTGTTTCTCCTTTTTCTCTCCCTGGAAAGTAATTTGAATACTTCTCACTGCATTATTTTCTCAGTACTTTCGTGTGTGTGTGTGTGTGTGTGTGTGTGTGTGTGAAAGAGAGAGAGAGAGACATTTATTCCATTAATGCAAGCATCAATTCTGTGAACAAAACCTCCAAATCTGTGCTATCAATTCTGATTCCACTCCAAAACTTTCCACCCATATTTATAACTCGCTGATAGACATATTACACTGGAGGTTCTGTTGGCATCATAAACACAGTGTACCTAAAATTCTTTACTTTTCCTGTTTCTCATTTTGGTTTTCTGCTTTGTCTTAATAATATTGCCTTGGTTTGTTTTTTACCACACCTTGAGGCTAAGGGTCATCTTCTCTCTTATACTCAATCAGTGGACGAATTCTCATGTTTCTTCTTTCCTAATGCGTCTGGCACCCATTCTTTTCAGTGCATCCCTTCTGCCAAGATCCTAGTTCAGTCCATACTTACATCATGCCTGTACTATTATAATAAAAATTAACTCACTTCCACGACGCTAGTTTCTAATCCTTCCAATCTATGTGGTACACTATCCTGTAAAATTTTAAAGTCCTGACTATACACCAAAAACTTTGTTAAACTCTGAGGAGTTTGACACTCTAAGGCCCATAAGAAGTACAATTTAATAGAAGAGATAATTTTGTAATTTCTTAAGTATAGTACCATATAACAAGTATAGTTTAAGCACAGAATAGGTGGAAAGAATGGTATAGTCGATGATACTTCAGTGATACTTGAGAAAATCAGTGGAAGCTTCAAATAATTAATAAATTTTAGAAAGACAGAAAAGTAGTTTATGGAGAAATAAAGTAATGAAAGACATTCTAGGCAAAAACAGTATCAGGTGCTAAGCAAAGAGCTATGCAAAAGCATGGCATTAGAGAAAGAAAGTATTTCCATATGGTTGGTGTGGGTTAGGAGTGGACTTTGTATATCATATAGAAAATTCAAAATTTCTTTCTGCATCTAAGGAGAGAAACAATGGAAATGTTTTAAGCAGCAAGCATAAAAACATGACTAGTTATATTTCATAATGATTTCTCTCTCAGCATTATGGGAAATACTTTGTGCAAAGCAAAGCTTGAGTCAGTGAATTAAAAGGCAATGGCAGAAGTATGCCTCAACATGAGCATCTCTTGGCTCTGCTTTAACAGTTATACTTCCTCAAAATCTTTCAATTACAGTTTGCCTATGGTATAACTCCAGGTCTTCAAATTCTAGTCACCCCATAAATGGCCCCAGCATCTTCCCAAGCTAATTCTGCAGAACTCTGCAACGTATGGCCAAAAGTTCAGCATTGCTGGACATTGCTGGATCATTTTCTGCTCACGGGACGAGGATCTGTGCTTTCCCAAGCCTTATAGGTTTGTTCAATGTATTTGATATCTTTGACCAGGGCTTGGCAAACTGCTACCTGCAGGCCAAATTGGGCCAAGTGCCTGTTTTTGTAAATAAAGTATTATTGGAGCACAGCCATGCCCATTCATGTACCTATTGTCTATGG